ATATTATTTTCATATCTTCATAGGGCACAATAACCCCTATTTTTATTTTAACGTCTTCACAGGGCACAATAACCCCAGTTAAGTATAGGGCACAACAACCCCTATTTTATTTTCATGTCTTCATAGGGCACAATAACCCCTAGTTTTATTTTAATTTCATCATAGCGAACAATAACCCCTAGTTGCATATATGCCACAATAACCCCCATTTTATTTTCATGTCTTCACATGACACAATAACCCCTACTTACATAGAAGGTAAAATAACCCCTATTTCATTTTTAATGTCTTCACAGAGTATAATAACCCCTAGGTGCATATAGGGCATAATAACCCCTATTTTATTTTCATGTATTCACAAGGCACATAACCCCCTGGTTGCATATAGGGCATAATAATCCGAATTCATTTTTTTTCATGTCTTCACAGGGAATAATAACCCTGGTTGCATATAGAGAATAATAACCCCTATTTCATTTTTCATGTGTTCACAAGGTACCATAACTCCATTTTCATTGTTTCATGTATTTTAAAAGGGCACAATAAAACTCTGGTTGCATATATAATACAATAACCCCTATTTTATTTTTATGTCTTCACATGGCACAATAACCCCTGATTGCATATAGGGTACAATAACCCTATTTTATTTTCATTCACATGGCACAATAACCCATGCAATTAAGGTAAAATAAACCATATCTTATTTTTATTTAATGTCTTCACAGGGAACAATAACCCCTGGTTGCATATAGGGCACAATAACCCCTATTTTATTTCTATGTCTTCATAGGGCACAGTAACTCCTATATTTATTTTAATGTCTTCAAAAGGCACGAAAACTTTGGTAGCATATAGGGCACAATAACCCTATTTTATTTTCATGTTTTCACAAGGCACAATAACCCCTGGTTTCATATAGGGCACAATAACGCCTATTTTATTTTTTAGGACTTCACATGACATGAGAACCCATAGTTGCATTTTGGCAACAAATTTATCTTTTATTTTATTTTAAAAAATAATATTTTTATGATTAGTATAGACTTTTATAACTTTCATAAAAAACTCACGAATCTAGTGCAAATTGGAGATAAAATTTTATTTCGTTTTCTTTGAAAGTGTGCAGGTTTCTATGTAGTACACAAATTTGAAGTTCAAGAATATCATGTGAAGGAACATCAACGGTTGAAGTCAAGTCATAAAGTTACAAGTCTTAAACGTAGATGTCCATATCAAAGTTCAGAATCGATGTACCTACCAAAGAGGGTGAAGTGATAACCAAAGATTCGAAATGAAGACTCAACACTATTGGAGTAGATATGCTTTTGTATCTTTCTTTTTCTCCTTTGGTATTTTGCCTTTTAATGTAATAACATGAGCTACAAACCGAAACCTCGACAAAACCTCACTCGACTACCAATTCAATTGGATCACACCTGACTCCTATCATCAATTTAGGATAGGTAGTTTTTCAAAAAGTTAGGACGTAGTCAAACCACTTTTCTTATACTTATTTTTCACATTTTAGGATAAATGTTTTAGTTTAAAATTAGTTACATTGTTCACGTCTTTGCATGAAAACTCTACATGTTTTCAAGAAAAGAGGGACATACTGTGAACACCTAATTTTGACCACAATATAAAGATATTACACAAATTATAAAATGGTTATATTTAAAATAAATGAAAAAATAAATTGTAAATTAATGTAAATTATAAGCTCATTATTATTTAAAGTTTAATGATAAAAAAGTTGTGAATTTAATGTATCTATTTAATTATTCAACTTTTATTTAGTCTAAAAAAATAAATATAATCGTATATACTATGAAAAAGTAGAAGAAAAGAGTCCTAAAAATTCATATTACCTTACCCTATTTTCTAATTACCCTCAACTTCTTTAACTTATTTTCCTAAAAATCCTCCTCCATCTAGTTTATTTTATTTTTATTCTTTTTTTTTGAAATTCTTTTTGCACAATTTTTTTTAAAAAAAAAATAAGAAGAAAAAGAAAAGAAAAATTGGCAATACACATATTCTTTTCATTTTCATCTTATTTATTTTTGTTTTGTTATATTTGATTTGTTAAATATTATTATTATTGTTTATTTATTTATTTTATATTATTCTCTTTTCTCAACCTTGATTTTCTCAACTAAATTTTAAACTAAACTCCCTACTCTCTGACCTTCCTTTTAATTAGCACAAGACTCTCACCCAAAACTATAATATAAAATACACGCTCAGTAAAGAAAAAAGACAGACAAAGAATATACACAGAGAACGATAGAGAAAAAAATATACAGAAATAAATATATACACAGACTGAGATGAAATACACAGAGAAAAAAAAGGCAAGAACAAAAGCAAAGAAAAGTCAGTTTTTCTTTTGAGAATTAAATCTAGAGTTACAGGTTCTGCTCGTGGTTCCAAGTTTGTGGATCCTTAAAATTGTTTTTGTGGTACCAATATTCACGCAAGGTAACTCTAAATTCTCGCATGATTTGAGTGAATTGCTTGTACGAGATTCGATTTCGATGATATGAGGTTCTTTAAATTGCATGTTATTATTATTATGTAATACCAATTTGTGATGTATGTTGCGATTATTTTGAGAATTTATGAATGATTAGGGAAACATAATAGAAAATGCTTCTTGTTAGGAGAAAAATAAAAAATAAAAGGTGTATTATATATTATTATTATTATTATTATTATTATTATTATTATTGTCTTATGACCTTTAGATAAAATTCATATAAATTTTTTTTGGTGATACTTAATTTTGAATAGTTAATATTCTTTTCTTTGAGCCTAGTTTTTCACTATAGAAAATTTATAGACTTGTCAGATTAGGATATAAACTAAAGCTTAATCATAAGTGATTTAGAAAGACTATGCAGAACATGTTTTAGTATTTTTTAAAATATATTATGAAGATGAAAATAATTTTACTTAAGAACACTAGTAGGATGATTATCACATTAATTAAAATTATTGAGATATATTATTAAGAGGATACATGAAAATAATTTAGAAATTTTTAATAAAAATAAAAATAAAAATAAAAAATAAATCGGAAGAAGAAGAAGAAGAAGAAGAAGAAGAAGAAGAAGAAGATTCTGATGATGATTCTTCAACATGAGACACACTATCCATAATCATTCCACTCAAAACATTCGCAACCACATTGGCCTTGTCGGGGTGGTAAAGGACACTCATGCTGTAATGCTTCAAAAGTTCCAACTACATTCTTTGCCGGGGATTCATTTGTTTTTGAGTGAACACATATTGAAGACTCTTGTTGTTGGTAAGTACATCCACATATACCACATGTAGATAATGCCTCTATATTTTTAAAGCAAACACTACAACCGCTAATTCAAGGTCATGAGTTGGATAGTTCTTCTGATGCACCTTGAGTTTTCTAGAGGCATAAGCTATCACCTTACAATGTTGTATAAAGACACAACCCAAACCTACTCGAGAAGTGTCACAATACACTGCAAACACTTTGGTACCCTCTGGTAAGGTCAACACCAGAGCAGAGGTAAGCTTATCTTTTAACTCTTGGAAACTTCTTTCACAAGCCTCTGCCCACTCAAACTTAACCTTCTTTTAAGTTAGTGTTGTCAAAGGAGAAGAGATAGATGCAAATCCATTGACAAATATCCTATAATACCCAGCTAAACTCAAGAAACTTTGAATATTGGTTAGAGTTAAAGGTCTAGGCCAATTTTTAACAACTTTTGTTTTCTTCAGATTGGCCTTCATACCCTTACTTGAGATATTGTGACCAAGAAAAAATATCGATCTCAATCAAAATTGACACTTGATATATTTAGCAAAGAGTTGATATTCCTTGAGGACTTGTAATACTACCCTCAAATGGCCCATATGCTCATCATCTCTCTCAAAATATACCAAGATATTATTGATGAAGACAATTACAAAAGAATCAAGTTAATTCCAGAACACTCTATTCAAAAGGTCCATAAAAGCCACCGGGGCATTTGTTAACCCAAATGAAATTACTAGGAACTCATAATGACCATACCTAGTTCGGAAAGACATTTTAGAAATGTCCTCACCTCTCACCCTAAGTTGGTGACATTCCAACCTCTGATCGATTTTCGAAAAGTAACTTTCTCCTTGGTGTTGATCAAACAACTATTGATCCCAAGGAGAGGATATCTATTCTTTATTGTAACCTTGTTCAATTGTTGGTATTTAATACACATTTTAGAGACCCATCTTGCTTTTTCACAAATAATACCAGAGTGCCTAATGGGGATGTGCTTGTTTAAATAAAAACATTGTCAAGAAAATCCTTGAGTTAAACCTTCAACTCTTTCAACTCGGCCGGAGACATCCGATAAGGAGGAATTGAAATAGGTTTCATATCATAATACAAATATATGTAGAAATCTATTTCGTGTTTAGGAGGAACTTCGGGTAAGTCATCGGGAAAAACATCCAAAAAATCCTTCATTATAGGGATCGACTCAAAAGGAAGAGATTCGGATTATAGGTCCTTGAAGCTCCAACATGATAGAGACATCCGTTATTAATAATCTTACAACAAGCTTTTAGACAAGAAATGATTCTATCTCTAGGGATTGAGTTTCCCCCTTCCATACTAAGACGGGTTCATTAGAAAATTGTAACTTGACTACCCTTATTCTACAATAAATAGAAGCAAAACAAGAATGTAATCAGTCCATCCCCAATATGACATAAAAATGCTACATATAAAGTTCTACAAAATCGAGAATGTAACTCTATTAGACAAAAATTTGGGACAACTCCTAAAGACTCTTTTAGCAATAACGGAGTCGCTCACCCTGAAAAGGTTCAATCAAAACATCGGGTAAAACATTAAACTTCACATCCAATTAAGGAGTTACAAAAGGTAAATTTGCACCGGGATCTAATAATGCATATACATTAATGGAAAATACTCACAATATACCGGTGACAACATCGGGATAATTCTCTTAATTACCCCTAGAGAGGAGAGCATAGAAGCGGTTATTCTTAGAAGCATCTGAACTAGGACCACTTGCTTGAGCTTGGATATTTCCCTTTACTTTACTTTTTACCATAGTACAATCCCTCACCTTATGGCCACTCTTTCCACAACAAAAGAAATTATCCTTTCCAACTAGGCATTGACCCACATGCTTCCTATCACATTTGATAGAAGTAGATTTCTCACTTGGTGAATCACCACCTCTTCCCCTTTGGGGTCTAGGGTTAGATACACAATAATTACGAGCCTTGGTGAAATTAGAAGGAACTTGGTTGAAGAAACTCTTCTTGAAATTAGGTTTGTCTTGAACTTCCAACCTTCCCTTAGAAGTACCTCTTTCATAAGACTTTGTCTTCCTAGTATCCCTAATCTTCCTCTTAAGCCTACTCTCTTCAACTTGTTGAGAATGCATTCTCAAATAAGAAATGTCCATGTTGTCATGAAGCATCACCAAACAATACTCCTCAACTAGATCATCAGACACTCCCATCACAAAACAATTCATTTTATCTCTCGGATTTGACACCAAAGAAGAGGCATACTTAGATAACTTAGTAAATTTAAAAAGTACTCTAGTACACTTACACCTCCTTGACGAAGGTTGATAAACTCTTCCACTTTAGTCTCTTTTTTCTCCCTTGGAAAAAACTTATTAATAAATGCGCTCTGGAAAACCTCCCAACACAGGACCTTCTTTCAAAGCCCTACTGTTCCACCATTGAGTATACTAAGTTTGAGCCACATCCTTGAGTTAATAAGCGGGTAGCTCGACCTTCTCATTTGAACTCACCCCCATAGAATAAAAGATCTTGTAAACCTAATAAAGAAAGTCTTGGGGGGTATTTATTCACCTAAGACCCAAAGAATATTGGAGGATTCATCTTAGTGAAGTCCCTCAAACGAAAATCTATAATGCTAGCATTTTAGTTCACTCAGGGTCCAACTTCAGGGTTTTATAAAGACACCATAGCTTAAACTTGAGTGGTTACAACTTGATCTTGAGTAATCATTGCTTGATCCAAACTTAGAAAAGCCTAATTTATTTCTCCATCCCTCATAGCTGGAGGATTGACCGAAGCTTGGTCACTAAAAAAATTTGTTTTTGAGGAGGAGCTTGATTGCGTTGTGGAGGAGCTTGGTTGTCTTGGGGAGGAGCTCTCGCATTAGCTATATCTTCCTCAAGCCTTCTTGCGGCTACCATTCTAGTAGTCATAGCCTATAACTTCAATAAAATGGTTAGATGAAAAGGACACATAGAGTAAAGACTTTTGAGGAATGACATAGGAATACCAATAATATTTGAATTTCCTAAGCATCACATAGCTTCTCATTCATAAGTGTAGCACACTTCACAAGTATGAACAAGAGTCTACATAGACGTGGTTTAGTGAGACATCAATCCTAAGGTTACTCAATCTCATGCTCTGATACAAAGTTTATCAAGACCGGGGAGCACACCCTAGATGTAATCAGCGTCTTCATCTTTGAAGAGACCTTAGACTAACCCTTACCATACATCATGGCATATCATAGGAGAGAAAATGCAGAAAATTAAAAACTTTTGCATTAGAAGTATACTTAGACTTCCCATTTATCTTATATGAAGTTTACATAGACTGCTTGTTTAGTAAGATAGTCAAATCCATTAAAGTAGTCTAATATTGTCTCACATATAACCATCTACTAGAGAATTATAAAGATTAGGACATAGACCTTACACTATTATAATATGCCTCATATAGGCTTACAACAAAGTCTTAAAATATAAGGAAAGAACAATTGTCTTAGACATAGTCAATAAAAATAAATCTAGAAAAGTTTCATCATCCTCGGACTTGAGGACTCACGAAAAACATGGGAAAACCATCCCAAGTGTTCCTTGTAAATGGCCTTGAAATCTCTTCAATAGCCCGAACCTACATAACTGTAGAAGTATAAAGAATATGGTTTAGTACAAACCATTTGTACCAAGTATGGAAACATATGCAATTCAAACCTTTAAAAAGATGCACAAAATGGACCATTTCTTTGAAAACATTCTACGTCATTTGGTAAGAGTTTATGAAATTTCATAAGCATATACAAGACAATGATCATAACAACAGTAAGACATGTTCATATTTATATACAAGAACACCATCATCATAAAGTCATATCAGCCTTTCATATTCTAAAGTTCATATCATCAAAGCATACACGACCCTTACTCGCAATCCCGTACCAATCCTACAAGTGCAATGCTCATGTGAAGCCTCATAACCCCATAGAATCAAGTAAACTAGAGAAGAAACCATATGTAATTCCTTTACTTCATATAACACAACATTATGTGCAGTCATAATCATACTTAGCAATTTAGACCAATATCATGTTTAATCAAATAAAACCAACATCATACAAGGGAAACATTATGCATTTCATTATAATATAAGTGAATACGAAGTCTTACTAGGACTCCCCTCAAGAACAACTTGTGCAATCATAGGTAAAGTCTCATACCCTTACCTACACTAAGTAGTACTCTTTGAGTAACCCTAGTTGGTGTCCATATTTATTAATTTCATTCATTCCTTTTACTTCAGGAAAAATTTGTCATAACCAACAATAGACCATGTGAGCTAAACATTAAATCTAGTGTCATGAAACCCTACACAGATAGATCGTGCTCTACTTGCAAAATATAAACCATACATGAACATAGTATTTTAGGTGGATCCGTTAGCTAGTCTTCCTATATAGGCACATTGTTAATTAACTAGGAGATTTGCAAGAAACCCTTTTATGCACACTTGCACTGTAGTCTCCATTTCACTAGAACAATAGTGAACCTACCTTCCCTCTTCGGATGTTTGGAAGGGGCACCTCTCATAACTAGTTTGCTCAGTTCTAAGCTTAAGTTCTTTTTTGAAGTCTCTTTAAGTCTTTGTCAATCACCAATTCTTAATATAGGTCATAAGATACTAACCTCTTGTATAATCATATATTAGATCATCAAATCTAGGATAAGAACATCTTTTCATCACTAAACCATCATAATGTGAGATATCGATCATATCATAATCACATTAATAAGAAGTAGAAAAGAATCCCTTTCAACCCTTCATAACCTTACTTCATCATGATCTCACACTCAACATAATCACAGCCTAATCATACATTCATAGCATCGTCATTTACTCTTCAATTGAATAACAACATCAAGTATAGGCCAACACTAACATAATAGGATAGTCATGATCTTTGAAGTCTTACCTATGATTTCCAAGAATCTCCTTCAAGATCTTACCCTCAATTCAACAACATTTATCCAATAATCCAATCACTATCATCATATAATAGTTATTTAATCAATAACACATTCAATTCCAACATCTCTAATCCTCTATTAACCTAATTCATAGTTAGGGTTAGGGAAAAGGGGTAATTCATGACACTTTAGAGAAACTAGGTCAAAGAATAAAGAAATAAAACAATCTACCAATAAAAAATCATAATATATCAATATTATTCCATTCAACATCATATTAAATTAATTATAGAGACAACCCACGAAATTGGATCAAAACCATAATTTTAAACATCTTTGAAATCAAATCTTTGAAGAGCCTCTTGGGGAAAGGGATCTCAAGAGTGAATAGCTTCCATACCTTGTTAATCCTTGAAGAATAGTTGAATAAGACTTTTATCTTGAATCTCTAATGAAACTTGACTTTGGTCTTCAATGGGGGGTCTTAGGCATAGAGAGAGAAAGTAGAGAGAAGTGAGAGTTAATTAGGTTTCAGAAATTATAAGGTGTTAGGTTAGATTAAGACGTTATAATCCTTTTATAGTCCGCAACTAACTATTTACCACACCTTAATAACTAATAAATAATTAACTAATTTCACTTACCTTAACCGAATTTGGGCAGTGAAGTAGGGTTACAAACGACATAACCCTGTCTTCCGCGTGTAGACCAAACCATGGACCGTACTGGTCAATGTGGTTTGGTTCAATGTTTATTTTTGGAGCCTTTTGGTGTTGAGGATAAGTATCAACCAACGACACCGAATGATAGAGCATTGTTCAAACGACGGCTCATCGTTTGTCCTCGTGGTTGCACGCACATTGCCAAAAGGCAATTTTAAGGGTCAAATGTAGGGTCCTCGTCAAGGACCCTTAGGGTGGTCCTTGGAGATTTGCACCCGGAAGTTTCAACTCTATAAACTCTATAACATGTATTCCAAACCTTCACAAATTTTGACTTCAATCCGACTATTTAAACCCCTTGAAACACACCAAGGCACACTATCTCAATTACACTAGTCTTCGGACGTTGTGGTTTATTATTGACATTTTGAATCTTACCCTTCCTAATTGATTTTATTACCTTTCATAAGCTTAAAAACAATTTTTAAGGCTTATTTTATCAGGTGAGGCTCTAGAGTATGTCATAAAACTTTCAGAGTGTTAAAAGCAATATAGTCAATCCTTTCCGGAATGAAATTGACTAACTTAGTCAATCTATCAATCACTACCCAATTAGAATCAAACTTCCCCAAAGATTGACGAATACCAACCACAAAGTCCATGGCTACTATTTCCCACTTCCATTCAAGAATTAGCATTTTTTGAAGAAAACTAGCAAACCTTAAATGCCGATATTTCAATTGTTGGCAAATTTGACACTTAGCCACAAACTCCACGATGTCTTTATTCATACTTGACCACCACTAAATTTGCTTCAGATCTCTATATATCTTTGTCACACCCGGATGAATAGAATATCGTGAACTATGAAATTCTTCCAACAATTTTTGAATCAAGTTATCAACTCGAGGAACAAAAATTCTCCCTTTTAGCACTAAGTACACCATCCGCATCAATAGGTTCCTCTTGTGCCTTACCATTCCCAACTTTTCCTTGAGTTACACTCAAATTTTCATCCTAAAATTATTTGTCCTTGATCTCCTCAATGAATGTGTCACCCTTAACTTCAATACTAGCTAAAACTTTGTCTCTTTCATAGATGCACAACTGCATGTACTTGGACTCTAAGCTGTGAATTTCTTTGGAAAAAGGTCACTTAGTTGCACTCAAATAAGCAAAGATACTTATACTTACCGTTTTTTGACTTAAAGCATCTTCCACCACATTGACCTTACCCCGACGGTATTGAATGGTCAAATCGTTATCCTTAATAACTCCATTCATATTCTCTATCTCAAATTCATATCCTTTTGAGTGAACACATGTTTCAAAGGACGATGACCGATACGCACTTCACACTTAAAGCTAGAGAGGCAATGTTACTAAATCTTAAGAGCAAACACTACCGCTGCTATTATAAATCATGTGTTGGATAATTCTTCTCATGCACCTTCAATTGACACGAGTCATAAGCTATAAAATTCTTACTCTGCATCAACACAACACCTAAACTAGAATGTGAAGCATCACAGTAAACGATAAAATCTTTACCTTCAACTGGTTATGCTAGAATGGGTGCGGTGGTCAACAAAGTGT